TTTCAAAAAAAAAAAAAAAAACCCCAACTTTTTGTGATAAAATTAAGTTAACACCAAAATAAAAAAATTAGTTGCTAGTTTTGTCTTAATGTTATGAAGTTGGATTTTTTGTAATTGTTTTCTAATAAGCCAGTGTATACCAGTCATGAAATAAGTTGTTGTAAACAAGAAAAATGAATGAAGATTCTTTTTTTAATAAATAAATTTGTTTTTTATCTAGAGAATGCATCTAAATTAGATATTAAGAATAATTAAAATAGTTCTTAATTTCACTTTTAAAATGTGTATATTTCCAGATATGTGAGTCTCTAGTGTAAAAATTATTTGTTTTCTACAAACAAAATTATGTTTCTATCTAACAAATACACCTAAAATTAGATATTAAAAACATAAAGTAAGTTTTAATCTCAGTTTTAAAATGTGTATATTTACAAAACTGCAAGTCATTTTGTTTTAAACCCAAAGTAAAAATTATTCTTTTTTAGCCACTCGTGTTTAGTGGGTGTTCTGCCTATAAAATTCTTCTAAACAAGGAAAATTAATTCATTTTAGTTTCATAAATATTTATAATAAATATCTTTATGGTTTTATCTAGCAAATACACTTAAGGTTATATATTAAAATGATTATAAAATAGTTTTTAATTTCAGCTTTAAAATGTGTAAAGAACAGGTGCTAGTTGCAGATTTGGAAATCTACACATTATAAAAATGAAATTAAAAGCTTTTAATTATTTTCAATATTCAATTTTAGGTGTATTATTCGTTAGATAAAAACATTTATATAGGGGAAAAAATAACTCATTGATTTTCCTTGTTTACAAGAAATTTATTTGTAAAACCCCAATAACAGTTGATTGGCGTACCAGAAAAGAATTGCCATATTTTAAATAATTTTAAACATGAGGGGTTTCATTTTTTGGCTTTTTAAAAGCCACATCATAAACTAATTTCTGGAGAGCTATACCATTTTATTTTCTCTCTCAAAAATGCGTTGTCCAAAGACACAAATATAGATATTTTATGCGACAATTTCTTTCGTATTTTACCAATTTGTTATGGTAGTTATTTATAGTTGACAATTTATTCGAAAGTTTAATAAACCTTAATCCAGGTCATGAATTCTATGACTAAATTACCTTTAAAGCATGAAAACTGACTTTAGGTGAGTGAACAGTTCCTACTTTATTACTCACTCTGATTCGTGGGGTTTTCGAGGTTTTCAATTCCAGTGGTCTTTAACACATGTCTATAAATTTTTATTACCCTTTAAAACCAAATATTATTTACTTACGCACCAGTTAACAGGCCTCCACAATGGCAGATGTTTCAAAAAACAACACCCGAAAGTTGAAAACTATATGGGGCATTTAATTTATGCAACAAGACTATAGTTCCAATAATTTGAAAGTTCTTTTACCATACATACTATCAGTTAATCTTTTTTTTTTTTCTGCTGCTTACTTTATAATTTTTGAAGGAATTTGCTTTCACCGGTCAGAGAAGAAATAAACATCTTCCTGGTTGTAGCTTAAGGTGTCTTCTAAATTAGAAGATTGAGTGTAGAATTTCAAGAATATTGATAAAGATTGGCCACATTGATTTTATGAAACAAAATAACATGTAAAATTTAGTCTCAAAAAAAAGAAAATCAAATTTTTTGCATTTTTGGCCGGTCGAAGCAAAATACCATTTTAACTCGCTGTAAAAAAATAATTCAATGAATAAAAGTACATACAAATTACTTATTTAGAAAGATTATTTTATTTTCTTTCCAGTCATATGAATATTTTTAAGATTGGACCAGAAATACATGAGAAATTGCAAGTTTAACGGACTAAGTTGCAAATTTATCAATGTCAAATGAAATCGGACATCGACTGGAAATGCTATCATTACACAAGAAAATGAATGGCTTTCTTAGAAAGCAAAAATACTAAATTAAAAACTGAATCGAAAACTGCAGTATCAAGAGGGAAAAAAAACAAACCAATACTGAAGCAGAAATTGCCAAACTGACCAACTCTAATTCAAACATCTCTGTACTGTCATAGTTACCAATTCCAATGTCGAAATCCTTATCTTTTTTTTTTTTTCCCCCATATCTCGTTTTTATGGAACAGTAGGGAATTGGTACCTATAACAGTCACGGGTTATATAAGTGGTCCCTCCCACTTCTTTAACTGAAAGACCACATGAGCGTGCAGCTTGAGGTTCAACTAGGGAAAATCCAAACCAATACTTAACATATAGTGTTTAACCCTGTCAGTTTCATGTCTCCGTGTGATTTTCATCTATAAATGTTCTTTTCCTGATATTCAGCATATTTTCCTTATGAATATACCAAATTTTTTTTTTTTTTTACCCCCATACATATATATATGAGAGAGATATAACCATGAGATTGAACACACACACACGCTCATATTTATATACACACACACACACGCTCATATTTATATACACACACACACACATGCTCATATTTATATATACACACACACACACACGCTCATATTTATACACACACACACACGCTCATATTTATACACACACACACTCATATTTATACACACACACACACGCTCATATTTATACACACACACACTCATATTTATACACACACACACACGCTCATATTTATACACACACACACACATTTATACACACACACACATATTTATATTTCACACATGTGCTTTTATTTATACACACACATTTGCCTTATTTATACACACATGCTCATATTTATACACACACACATGCTCATATTTATCACACACACATGCTCATATATATTGAGACACACACACATGCTCCATTTATACACACACACATGCTCATATTTATACACACACACACTCATATTTATATACACACACATGCTCATATTTATACACACACACATGCTCATATTTATATATACACACACATGCTCACACACACATGCTCATATTTACACACACACACATGCTCATATTTATACGCACACACACACACACACACACACACACACACTCATATTTATACACACACACACATACGCTCATATTTACACACACACACACGCTCATATTTATACACACACACACACACATGCTCATATTTATACACACACACACGCTCATATTTACACACACACACACACACGCTCATATTTACACACACGCACACGCTCATATTTATACACACACGCTCATATTTATACACACACACACGCACACACACACGCTCATATTTATACACACACCCGCATGCTCATATATACGCGTGCACACACGCACGCTCATATTTATACACACGCTCATATTTATACACACGCTCATATTTATACGCACACACATGCTCATATTTATACGCACACACATGCTCATATTTATACGCACACACATGCTCATATTTATACACACACATGCTCATATTTATACACACACACACACACACACACACATGCTCATATTTATACACACACACACACTCATATTTATACGCACACACATGCTCATATTTATACACACACACACACACACATGCTCATTTTTACACACACACACACACACACACATGCTCATATTTATACACACACACACACGCTCATATTTATACACACACACACATGCTCATATTTTACACACACACACGCTCATACTTATACACACACACACACACACGCTCATATTTATACACACACACGCTCATATTTATACACACGCTCATATTTATACACACACACACGCACACACTCATATTTATACACACACCGGGCGATGCTCATATATACAAAGCACACACACATGCTCATATTTATACACGCTCATATTTATACATGCTCATATTTATACACACGCTCATATTTATACACACACTCATATTTATACACACACTCACTCGCACGCTCATATTTATACACACACTCGCACACACATGCTCATATTTATACACACACACACATGCTCATATTTATACACACACACAAGCACACGCTCATATTTATACACACGCACACGCTCATATTTATACACACACAAGCACATGCTCATATTTATATACACACGCACACGCTCATATTTATATACACACACACACGCTCATATTTATATACACACACACACACGCTCATATTTATACACACACTCACTCGCACGCTCATATTTATACACACACTCACACACATGCTCATATTTATACACACACATGCACATGCTCATATTTATACACACACACACATGCACATGCTCATATTTATATATACACACACACACACACATGCTCATATTTATATACACACACACGCACATGCTCATATTATACACACACACACACACATGCTCATATTTATACACACACAAAAAGAGAAATAAAAATCAACAATATCAAATAATAAAAGCCTCCCAAGTTTGGCATAAATTAATTACATCAAATTTAGTATAAAAATAATGAAAAATGGCAACCAATGCTGAAACTTCTTAATGAATAGACTGAATAATTATGGGAACGTTTGTCTACAAAAAAACTCTAGAATTGAGTTACTGAATATAACGTCAATCAGCTAAGTGACAAATTTAAATTGTATTATTATATATATATATATATATATATATATATATATATATATGTGAGAATATGATGGGATGCTAAAAATAAAATTTGAATTGTTTTTTGTATTGTCATATATATATATATATATATATATATATAAAATGTGTGTATGTGATTTTATTCTTTGAGCACTCTTCCTTAACTTGCCTTCATTGACAATTCTTATAATCAGTTGTGCCTCTTGATACAGACAAGATGACATTCTTCATTTTGTGAAAAAGGAATAGTTTGGGTTGGTAAGCATTTGGTCACTAGATTTTTCATTAATTCAAATAAGTTTTCTTTCTTTCTCAATACATTATCTGCAAGCTTGTGAGAGGTAAGCAAATTTATACAATTATGAAAAAAAACAAAACATGTTTTGTTAAGTATCCTGTTTGATGTATTTTTGTTGTTTTGCAGAGTTGTTTGATAACTACATGCAACAAGATGCCCATGAATTTCTCAATTACCTTCTTAACACAGTGGCAGACTTATTACAAGGTAATCTGCACTCTCATTTATTTTTATGATCTGTCTCTTAGCCATCTTCTCCCAATATAGGTCCTGTTCTCATGGCAAATCACCTTCAATGGAAATGCTTGCCAAACTGCAATTAAGTGTTACCACATTTTCATTGTTAATATTGTTATAACAATTCACTGCAGAGGATTTACCAGTAAAATGCTTTCTCTTTTTTTGAGAAATTTATTTATAAATAGCCTTTCAATTTGTAATATTGAATCAAAAACAGTAAAATCCCATGTGCAAACTGTTTGAACCCTTTATGCTCAAGTATATCAACTAATTTTATTAATTTTTAGTAATTGCTCAATATGGTTGCCAACAAAGCACTATATGGAATGAATTTCAAATTTAATTGCCAGAAAAAAGCTAGCAAAATAAAATGATGACACTTATAAAATTATACATGGGTAGTGAAACATTTTCAATGAAATTTTCAGACTCTTACAAAATGGCTTGTTTAGTATGGCTTCATTGTTAATTTCTTGATACTTTGCATATTCAGTTTACATTAACTTTGTAATGAACTAAATATGAAATTGATCATTTCATAATTTATGAATGTTTAGTAACTTTTGAAATATATTTATGAATATTCAGTGTTAACACAAGTATATAAAAATAAATAGAAAAATGTAATTTGTTTATTTGTCTTGATAGTGACGTCCATAATAATTTTTTTTACTGGCGTTTTTGCAGATAAAAGCCAGCATTTGTTCTTTTATACTTCAATAACATTTTTTAAATAATAAATGGACAATTTTTTTTAACTGTATTAAAATAAATAAAACCTCATCTCATGTTCAATAATAATGACTAGATCCTTTCTATTTTGTTAGCAGAAAAGCAGGGAAATCGGACCAAATCGACTGTTGGCGGTGTTGACATTCACACAAAAGCTGAATCGACGTGGGTGCATGATATTTTTCAGGGAACATTAACAAATGAGACCAGGTGTCTGAATTGTGAAACTGTAAGTCTTCCTTTTCTCAGATTCACCTACAGCACCATTTTTCTATGTATAAAAAGATGCTGAAAAGTTTTTGGTTTGGTTCACTTCCATAAATCTAACCTAACCTTCTTTAGAACTTCTTTATTGATCTGTGAACTTTAAAGTAATGGGATAGATGTGTAGTATTTGTGTAGGACCCCTATTTAGCCTGGTGAAGTGCCACAACTCAACATGGCACTGATTCCACAAGTGGTCAGAAGGTCCTTTTGAACCATGTTAATTATATATGATATTTGTAGGTGCAGGATTTTTAATGCAAATAGACCTCTCCATCACATTTTAAAAATGCTCAATTGGGCTCATGTTTGGAAATCATGGTGGCCACATGATTCATCAAAAGTCTCTAGAATATTCTTCAAATCAATTCTGGGTAACTTAGTGATACAATAACACTGTATCCTATATACTCATTATTGTTGGGATACATGGAGTTTATGAATGAGTGCAAATGGTCACCACTCAGTGATGTTTTTAGGCAAACCCAATCCATGCCATATGAATACACCTGCTAATATAGAACCATGGTGCCTTTTGATAATTAGGGTTCATGAGCTCATAGGGTCTACACCATGCCTAGACCAGAAGCAACTGAAATTGTGACTCAATGGATCATATCACAGGTTGCCAGTCCAATTAGTGATGTCATAAGCCCAGGTGAGGTGCTGTGTCCAATGTTGTGGTGTTAACTGGTGGGTCTTCTGCTCCTATATGCCATGAAGAGTAAAGAATAGTGAACTAACCTGCTGAATAATAATCTGGTAATATCCTGCATTGTATGTGGATGCAATTTATCTCTGATCCTGATCATTAGGGATCTGTGATCACCTACCATACTGTATACAATGAGCAGTAATGCCTTCCATCAATAATTCCCAGTACATACAACACTGTAGACTGACAGATATCAAATATCCTATACACCTGGCACCTATTACCATGCCCCCTCACATTCTAATGCTGATAATTAATGTTACCTTGCCATGAGCAGCCTAGCCAGTTTTCATACTCAGCTCACCAGATGTTAGAGCACAACTTGTATAGGTCTGGGTATTTTCGCAGCATCAAGGTATGGTGGCATAATCTGCTATTACCTTGACATATTGCTATCCCATAACTTTTGGAATGTTAGTGTAAATGCTTACTTGACTAGCAGATTTCATGTCCATATTATTTTCTGTTAATAATTTTAATAGTGTTTTTCTTTAAAAGAAAGAAAAGAAATGGCTTAAAGTGCAAATGATAGTGAATTTATTTGTTGCATTGTAGTTCACACTAGTACTCTCTAAAATTTCATATTTTACTCAAGAAATTTTAAATTTGTTGATTTCTATTCTTGATTTTGTCTTATTGTGAGCTGTATAATGTAAAAGAGGAAGAAATAGTTTTAAGTGTTCCTTTACAATTTATGGCCTTTTTAATTGTGACTTTTTAGGTCAGTAGTAAGGATGAAGATTTTCTTGATTTGTCTGTGGATGTTGAGCAAAACACATCCATAACACACTGCCTACGAGGTTTTAGCAATACTGAGACATTGTGTGCAGAGCACAAATATTACTGTGAAGTATGTTGCAGCAAGCAAGAAGCACAAAAAAGGTATGCATTTTAATAGCAAATCATCTTCATACTGATTTCCTAACCATTTTTCTTTTTCTCGTTTTCTTTCCAATCTCTCTTCCTTTTTTTTCCTTTTCCAATCTCTTTTCCAATCTCTCTTTTTTTTTTCCTTTTCCAATCTCTCTTCCTTTTTTTTTTTTTCCTTTTTTTTTCCTTTTCCAATCTCTCTTTTTTTTCCTTTTTTTTCCTTTTTTTTTTCCTTTTCTCTCTTCCTTTTTTTCCTTTTCCAATCTCTCTTCCTTTTTTTTCCTTTTCCAATCTCTCTTCCTTTTTTTTCCTTTTCCAATCTCTCTTCCTTTTTTTTCCTTTTCCAATCTCTCTTCCTTTTTTTTCCTTTTCCAATCTCTCTTCCTTTTTTTTCCTTTTCCAATCTCTCTTCCTTTTTTTTCCTTTTTTTTTCCTTTTTTCCTTTTCCAATCTCTCTTTTTTTTCCTTTTTTTTCCTTTTCCAATCTCTCTTCCTTTTTTTTCCTTTTCCAATCTCTCTTCCTTTTTTTTCCTTTTCCAATCTCTCTTCCCTTTTTTTTTTTCTCTTCCTTTTTTTCCTTTTCCAATCTCTCTTCCTTTTTTTTCCTTTTCCAATCTCTCTTCCTTTTTTTTCCTTTTCCAATCTCTCTTCCTTTTTTTTCCCCCCCATCTAAATCATATTTACATTCATTTTTTTTCTCTTTTTGGATAAGTTTTGTAGACATACAATGTACCTGTAGTTATCTTCCTTGAATTTACTCATACAAAATAATTTCTTATTTTGAAGAATTATGTCACATTTAAAAATTGTATATTTGTAAGTAAATTGAATTGTAAGATTGATTTTATAGAAAATGATTTATAAGATAATTTGTTTTTCTCTGATTAAAACAAAATAGGTTTATATTTTTAGTCATCTTTGTGTAGAAGTATAACCACTTTTGCCACCACCTACGCCCAAAGGTGTAACCACGTTTAGTAGTCTAGTCCTCAGGGTCTTAGGACAACATTTTATCCACAGGGCTAACTCTGCACTGTTCTGTTGACGCTGATCCAAGCTAGTTGTTGGTTGCTGGCCACTTCAATCTACACCAACTCTGCTCACATTGTGTTCTTGATCTCAGAGCAGTGGTAGATCAAAGGTCATAATAATTGCAGCACTGGTTCAAGCTGTGGCAGATACTATATTAAGGAAGAAAAATATCTTCACAACGAAAAATAAAATGAAAGATTCATGGAGTTAATCTTCAATTGGTTTATATCTCTCTTGGTGCAACAAATTAACCCTTCCTGCCACAATCTCTATAGTGACAGTGGGCCTCGTTTAAAATTCTGGAGGAGCTTGGTTCAAAGTTCTTTAAAATGAGGAAATCTGGTAGCAACTGACATGGATTCCAGAGGCACTCAATACGGGATTTGCAGGCCAAGTCTTCAAGCCCCCAAAGCCATCTCCTTATGCACTTCAGCCCAAAACTGACATGGGGCTGAAGGGTGCTGGGGATCTGTTGATTCCTAAATTTTTACATTAATTGCAATAAAGGTTTTCTTTGTTCCCTATTTCTGCTTTCTTAATCAACTTTCCAAATTTGGAGAATTATCTACTTTCCTTGGGAGTAGTCACAGGGATTGCTCCTCCCTTAACTCCACCACTTGACACAGGCGGTACTAAATCCTCCTACTTCCTCCTACCACTACCTCAGCTCATCTCTCAGGCCAACCCAAATGTCTTTATGACAAATTTAAAAGTGCATAAGCTAAGAAGCAGAATTTTATTCCAATCATCAATTTCAATTCTCTGACTCCTTTCTATTTTCCTAGAATTATCTTTCTCTAGTGAAAACACAAACCAAACCATTGCATTCTCATTTAACCTTCCAAGTGAGAGATACAATTATTTCCCAGTTTGTTTTCATCAACGGAAATATATTTGTTTACCTAAATTTTCTAACAAGAGACAAAACTGTTCTCCATCTGTGGGACAATTGCTGTCTTAGCGAAAACACAAACCAGACCACCTGTCTGTCACAACAGGATTGATTTTCATAACCCTGACGCTCAAAGTGGGTTCATTTCCTGTTTTCATTTCTCAATTTGTTTGCATTAACAAAAATACAATTCCTGTCTGTCTCTCTTCTTGTTAATGATATATGTTCTAATTTCTCAAGAAAGAGTTAAAGCCATTTCCTCAAACTCTCAACAGATAAGAAAAAGTAGACTCTTGGTGCATCATTCCAATTCGTAGGCATGAGACAATCCAGATGACCACTTTTTACCAGGGAAAATGTCTTTTCTCTATCTCCCAGCTTATATATCATTTTGGGCTTAACTCTGTTCATTTAACCACCTCATGACATCAGTCTCTCAGAAGTACTACTTTATTTATTGTGTATAAAATCATGCACAACTGTCTTGGAAGTTTCACTTTAGAAATCATATGTTTTATTTGCTGTATGATCAGCCAAATGTCTGTTACACAAGGATAATTTATTAATTCTAGAATATATTGATAAATATTGGTAGAATTTGCTGACCCTAAACTTCAGTTTAATTTTTAGCCTGTCTTCATGTTCTTAAGAATTGTAAAATAATTATTTACTATTTTGTCTACTTTTTACATAACAAACGACTTAAGAAAATTCAGGAATTTTTTTTTAATATCGATCATAAACTAAAATTATAGAAGTTTAAAAAATTACCAACCAAATGATATTAGTAATGTTAACTATTTTTGTATGATTTATCTCCTTTTATTTAATTTTTAAATAAACTACTTTTTGTTTCTTTCTGAATAAAATATTTTTCAATCCTTTTTCAGAATGAGAGTAAAAAAATTACCTCAGATTCTGGCATTACATTTAAAACGTTTCAAATATATGGAACAGTTAAATCGATATACCAAGCTCTCCTACAGGGTTGTGTTCCCACTGGAATTACGGCTATTCAATACAGTAAGTCACCATCTATTTTAGTTATTAGAGTTACTTCAATATCATTTTTTTTTGTTTTGTTTAAAATTTAAGTGAGTCCATTAGAATTTTGTAATTGTCGGAATTATTTTGTTTAGATGTAAAGTCTATCATTGTACCCCAAATAATGTTGACACAAACTTTGAATATATGTAACTCATTAATTATTTACCATGATATATCTCAAAGAATTTTTCTGCTAATTTTTAAATTAATATATATTTTTGTTTATGGGAATATGCACATCTCTCTCCTGTATGTCCCAAGCTTTCTTGTGGATGCTTTAACTTTTTAAAAAATAAAATCTAATAAACAAAATTCTATGTACCATAAAAGGGAATCTACAAAATTCTGAGAAATATTGAGAGTATTACACTGAATGTTTAATATTAATCCATTACAATTTCTCTCTTTCTACTACTTACTTTTAGTCAGATGATGCCTATAATCCCTACCGTCTCTATGACCTGGTTGCTGTGGTCATTCACTGTGGCAGTGGCCCCAACAGAGGACATTATATCAGCATTGTAAAAAGTCATGGATTTTGGTTGCTTTTTGATGATGATATTGTTGATGTGAGTTACTTATCTTCCTATTGTTCTTTATATACATATTGTTATATAGGAATAAAGTGTTGCTGCTGACACTTGAGTTTGAACATAGATCGCCAGTGAGCAAACACAGGCAATCCCATTATTGAATTAAGTAGACCACATAACCATAGAGGAAACGCATATATGAAGGAAGTCACATGACGTCTAATTGATCACCATCTCTAATTTATCCTCTATTACTATACAGACCGCTATTCTCTACTATATTCACTATACTATTTCTCTATTCAGATCACTATACAGATTACTGTTCAAGCAAGTATTATCGAGCAAGTACTATTAGTGCGAGTGATATTCGAAGGCATCTGACACTAGTATTGTTCAACAGCATACGATAGCTTTATCTGCGATTACAGTCTCTACTACAACAAGCATTCGTTGAAATCACAAAAGTGTCAAACGAGTGGTTTGTTTGAGTCACAAAAATAATATATACAACAATTAAATTCCTTACTTTTCAAGAATGTCAAATAATATTGTCTTTCAAATATTCTTATTTTTACTTGTGTTAGATTATTCTGTATTTGCCTCATGAACAACTGAGCTTTAGATGAAATTGTAATTTCAAAGAAGCCAATTGCACATATTTGCTGATATATGTTGAAAGTCTTGAACTCTCCAAGAAATAGAATTATTTTGTAATGGTGAGTTTTTTGTTTTTTTTTCTCTTGTGATATTGCTATCATTATCAAGCATGAAAATCAAGCCAGATATTTCTTGCTTTCATACATCTCTTGCATTCTAAGTAAGTATTGTGCTAGGAGAAAACAAGATGGGTTGGAACAGATTTGAAACTAGATCATATTGACTTGATAAATGCCGCCTCAGCTCTAATCAAAAATGCATCAGTTGAAACTTTCAATCTATGAAGATTGTCATTACTGGTTTGTGTAGACCTTCTCTTCACTTGTTAATGTGTCTGTCTTTTATCTGTACATACCTTTTTATTGCTGTTTATTTGTGAATATCTATAAGAAAATATCTAGTCACTTATACAATAATGAAACCCAAATTGAGATTGAGTTTCTCTTCAATCCTATAAGTGAATGACACTTGCTCACACCTACCTCTTGACTAGTATATAAGTTACTTAGAGTTCACTCAAACATGTGTAAATTCTTTTGAAAGTATATATTCAAGTATTTTATGATTGGGTTTTTAATAGCTAATAGCTTGTAAGCATGAGTTCACAGATTACAGCAACTAAGATTTTGTTATGAAAAAAAAGTGAACAACAAAGATAAGGAAAATAATGCCAATTCACTTAAGTGCAACAGTTAATAGCAATTCAAAAGATGAAACCAACAAATTTTAAAATTCTGATGATTTGTTGATGTCAATTTTATACTTTTTTTTTTTTTTAAGGTTTGAACCAAAATGTGTGACTCATACTTGCAAAGTGAACAACATGAAAAAAAAAAGTGATCACCTGGCTGTTTAAATTCCATGTTATCTTATTACTCTTTCTTTCCACATTCAATTTATTTTGTGACAATTATATGTGCATCCAAATAGCATTATTAAAATTCATCATTTTATCAAATGATTTAATAATATTTCTTCTTTGAATCATTTCAGAAAATTGATGCCAGTACAATAGAAGATTTTTATGGACTTCCGTCAGATCTGCAAAAGAATTCTGAGTCTGGATATATTTTATTTTACCAGTCATGGGAGTGAGGAGCAATGGACAGGACAGAAGCCCACTGCAGGTAGAGGGTCGGGTGTAGGAACAGCAGCATGGTGTGTTCCTTTTACCCCATCCACCTCCTGACTTTGTTGGTTGCCTGCCTGGCTACAGTGTCACTCAAAAAGCAATATGGATATTTTAAATTGACAGTGCTTTCAAATAGGAGCAGGAATTCATCCTCATCCTCACATTGGGCGATGAAGCTGATGATATCAATGATGATCAAAGGATTTTTGATGCAGTTGAATAATTAAAAAGGGGAGGGTTACATGGGGTTTGTTTTCTGGGGGATACTTATTTTTTTTCCTATCTTTCTTTTTCTTTTAAGGCACTGAATCAGTATTTTCTTCAATTTGCAATTGTTAGAAAAAAATTTTTTTTTTTTTTTTTTTTATATGGCTTACTCCCAACCCCTTTGAGATTCAAATTAGGGAGAGGAAAA